CATTCAGAATCGTAGTGGCGTAATGAGTGCGTATGTGGCCTGTACAATGACTTGCGGTGGCCAGCCGATGTACAAGTCAGTGCTTTTATCCTACCAGACGAGCCTGGTACCAATTCACCGACCCCGGAGGGATGGAAGGCTTGGTTGGCCTAGGCGGGCATCAATCCGGGATTCGAACCCCTGACCGTGCATGTGATATAGGGCACCACTTGCCACTACACCACCTCCGCCCACCCACGCCCCGGAAGAATTTGCAAATTACCGTAGTAATAATAGTTATGAACTGCATAATTCGGAGCATAAATTCATCACCCTGAAATCCCAATTTCCATCGCCCAACTAGAATTTGGTAGAGCATTCCAAAAAATAAGTATTGGTTTGGGTATTTGTGAGTCAATAGCGTGTTGATTGCTTTTGAAAGCTGCATATTTCACATATTCGCCTTCCGTACTCACCCTTCAAATTTTGGATTTCGATCTTTTATTCATGTTCTACCTACATCCACTTCACCTTGGTTTCACTTTGTTAGCTTGAACATTGTTTTAATTCTTTTCGCATTTTAAATTTGATATTAGGACATATTTTTGATATTTTTAATTCTGGCCATATATATGAGACTTAGGTTTACTACAAAGTTAGCAGTACAAGTTAAAGTAGAGCCTACGTTTCAACCTGCATGTCAGCTCGTATGACTTAGTACTACAAATTCTATGGCGCTCACTCATTTTCAAAGCTCTAGTCTCATTCCGTCTAGTGGAGGAGTCTCATCTGTTGTGCTGGGCTTGGTCAATTAGGAGACGTCCTTGTTAGTATGCTAAGCTGCCTCCTTTGTTGAAAAAATCCATAATCTTTTATTCACTTCGAGCTTATCCTTTCTGCTTAAATACCTGGTAATTGAGATTGACGAGAAGCTCTCACATATTTCTTTCCTTTTAGTGATTATACAGGTTATACAGCAATCTGCCTGAATTCCCATATGCCTGGATGTTTTGTTTCATCCATTTATTTCCGATTTCCGAGACTTGCACTTCTGGGTATGCCCATTTCTCCGCATAGTTTCAGTCACGTTATGTACCAAGGGTAGAAGTGGTGTTGTGGCAAGTGGCGCACTATCACAAACGCATGTCATGGGTTCGATTCCCGGATCGATTTCTGCCTAGGCCAACCATGCCTTCCATCCCTTTATGGTCGGTTATTTGGTACCAGTCTCGTCTGGGAGGATAAAAACACTGACTGTACATCGGCTGGCTACCGCAAGTCATTGTATAGGCTACATATGCATTCAAAACGCCACTACAATTCTGAATTGAAGTCAAGTGCCGTGGCGCATCCCACAGACGGGATTGATCGATGCTAAAAGATTTTATCCTCCCTATTAAAATTCTAATTTTATTATGTACCTAAGAAAGTGCACTCGTAGATCAAAAGCTGCCTGTCCCTATGAATTGGAATGACCCTGAACAAAGACCATTCAGTTTCTGTGGGCGGGACTTGGTGTAGTGGGAGGGGCTATTGCACCGAGCGCTTCGCGCACAAATAAGGGCTCACTATTGTTAATCATGGCCTCAGTGTTTTACTAGGTTAACACAATTTTTAATTGTTCTGGTTTCTCTTTATATCTTGTTTGTTTACAACCATTTATTAGAGTAACATAATGGAAAATTTTGTATTATTATGTTATAAAATTAATTTTTGATCGATAAATGTAAATTATTTTTATAATTATTATTATTATTATTTATAATTATTTTTGTGATTGGCTATTTCATTTCCCATGACCAGCGAAAGATGTTTTTGTAGCGCCTATAGAATTGGCATGTTGGAATGGCGTTCAAAAGGGGTGTGGTGCAGTAGAAACGAAATAGTCGCGTCGCGGCAAGAGACGTCGCGCGCGAAGGAATGTAGCAGAATGAAGGAGCAAGTAGGAAATACAGGAACGAAAGTACTAACAGTAGGATCATGCCAAAAGTAATAATCGCATAGCGATTGAGCTGTATGAAGAACGCTAAAACTGTTATAACGAGGCAAATTGTCTGCGACAGCCGCGTGCGGTGGATCGATTACGCAAGACCGTCCCAACCGCCCGTCTCCCGTACAAAAGTACTTCCGTTTTTGAGTGTCTAGATTTTTTTTCGAAAAAAAAAAGAATTTAAGTCGCGTTCCATTTCAGATAACGAATTGGCGATCATGTACAATGATGAAAGTGTTTTGGAGCAGCATCATTTGGCTGTTGCCTTTAAACTTCTTCAAGATTCTAACTGTGACTTCCTGTGCAGTCTATCCAAAAAACAACGGTTGCAGTTCCGAAAGATCGTCATCGATATGGTCAGTGTTTCATCTTGGTTTATTTTACTACAAATTAATTTACAATTGAAGATAATTTTCCTTGAAATACTGTGGGGAAACTACCCAAACGGGAGAAGAAGTGCAGATTCTTCAAAGTTCAACACACAGTTACCTTCCAGCCGGAAGAAGTAAAAGAAAAGTTTCCGAATCTTATGGCCTGGCCTCTGCTGAGCTCTCTTTTCGATATGGGCATATGGCATAGAATAGGTTTGGCCTGCTACTTAGCCATGAGTTTCTGAGCGTTGCTCTACCCTTTCAAATAGGAAAACAGGTCGTTGTAATGAATGGTATTGATCGATTCGTCGTGAATACGCCATGCGCTCGTTTTCACTTCTGTTCGTAGATATCCTCAAGATGACTTCTTAAGCGGCTTTCTTCTAAAAAAAACCTATCAATGGAAACCAACCTAACAACCCATCGGCCTATCAAACCTATCAATACTGCAGTGGTACCTCCAGTCTTCAAAAAAAAGTATTCGCTACCAATATATGGGTTTCATCGACTACTCCCCAGTTGTTTGAAATTTTCAATCCTCCAATCAATTCTTGACTTTTGAAAGATTCAGAAATGAACCCTGGTGTTGCTCAATGCCGTTTTCGGGATGTTCCCCTGCATTCGGATTCCATTCAGAATCGTATACCTTTTTGATTGCTTATGTAACCTATACAATGACTTGCGGTGGCCAGCTGATGCACAAGTCAGTGCTTTTATCCTCCCAGACGAGTCTGGTACCAATTAACCGACCCCAGAGGAATGGAAGGCTTGGTTGGCCTAGGCGGATAGCGATCCTGGATTCGAGCCAGTGACCATGCGTGTGTGATAGTGCGCCACTTGTCACGACACCACCTCCATCCGCATTAACTATAATGTATTACCATTACTACAGCAGCCTTCCTTCTTGGTAATAATTTGAGCTCCATAAAGTTTTCAACTTTACCCTGACACTTCCCGAGGGAATAAGTTTCCCACTTATGTGTTGTACACCAAAATTCATTGTACCCATATTTCTACTACTACTTTACCTAATCCAACTGTTTTTGGTGGGTAAATATGCTAATCCAGGTTGAAGGTTCCCGAACATTCACATGACCAGGCTGATTTACCACGTGGTTCTATAGTGCCCTTTCATTTTCCTTCTTTTCTGACAGTCCTCGAACGTCGAGAGAGGACAAATCGTTCGTGACAGGACGACTTGTCTGACCTGACCGGCCAGCCGGCCACGATTCGCAGTCATTGGTCTGGCTGGCTGGCAGTCACGGCTTCGACTTCGGCTGTGTGCACTGCACGGATGGTGAAACTGGTCGGTTGCAGTTCGCCGGAAGCGATCAATCATTGTCGCGCGCGACTCGTTCTTTCTATGGACTGAAAGACATCATGTTTAATTCATTCACGGAGGAGACCAGAAGTGGTGGGGGTCCACATTGACCTTCACTACCACCGTGACAACTTTGTCTATTGCCCCCGTCAATCCCGTCTTCTTTGATGATTGTGATGGCTGAATAGATGGGGACTGATTTGGACTGAAGTATTACGCTGAGAAGGATTTTGCGGTCGTATTTCCGGCGGTGAACTGAAGTACGGTATACCGGTTTTATCGGAATCTTCTCGATATCCTCACTTGTCGACACCCTTAAAACGCCCTACCTAGACCATTTTTCGATTTGACAGCATATGGTATACGGGAGGCCGCAGATTCACTCTGGGGAAGATGGGAACATCTCGGGAACTATTTTCGTGTTGAACTAAGCTTTTCAAGTTTCCCAATCTAAAGGATCTAGTTTTGTAAATTTTCGAAATTGAATTTCGGATTTTAAGATTTTTAAGTCATATATTGACTATAAATTGGCTATTCAGATTACTGTAGATGCAATCGGTATACTTGAGCAGAGCCATTTACTTTCACAGTTGTTTGTTAGTGTTTATAAGTTCTTTGATGTTGCCGAAAATCGTTTCTGATCGAAAACATAAGACGTGATAGGTCGTTGAGCAGTAATAAAAAGTAGAACAGTATGTACCGTACTGTTTTTTCCGAGAGGACATTAAAGTTCCGTGGCAATCAAGGTGACAATCTGTCAGACAAAAGATTACTTCTTGTTTCCTTGTCTTTTGATTGAACTTGTTAAGCTTATGCCTATTTTTCCTGAGTAATTGGTAGTCCGATTTCATTTTCTGATCCATGGAGTTTTAAATGTCAACAGTGATAAAGGTACGGGACGAGGGTCCTCACTACCCACAACGATAACGGTGTTCAGAGATGGGAACGGCTGGATTTTGGCCTGAATCGTTTGCCTGCTCTGACAGATCGGAGACTACCTCTACGATTCGAATGCTACTAGAATATGGGGCGCATCCTCTAATAATGAATGGATAAAAGGATAAAGGATAAAGTTTCTGGCGTTAATCAATCCCGTCTGAGGGATGCGCCCCGCACTCGTCTTCCATTCAGAATTGTAGTGGCGTAATGAGTGCGTATGTGGCCTATACAATGACTTGCGGTGGCCAGCCGATGTACAAGTCAGTGCTTTTATCCTCCCAGACGAGTCTGGTACCAATTGACCGACCCCGGAGGGATGAAGTGCTTGGTTGGCCTAGGCGGGCAACGATTCGGGATTCGAACCCCTGACCGTGCGTGTGATATAGTGCGCCACTTGCCACTACA